AACCGCGAGGTGGACAGCACATGACTTGGCAAAAAGGCGTGAAAGAGATCACGAAGAGTTTGGGTGTTGTTGGTGTTGTGAGACTTCCAGGATGGGGTCCCCGTGACCCCGTCTAAACGAACTTTATGGTTGTACGGCAGTGAAGCATCAGTACCAACACTGATCTTGCTGTCATTTATGATGATGATGACGATGCGGCAGGATATACAGAGGTTGGTATCGTCCTAAGCCACCAGGTGGAAGGATTCTTACTTGACTGGGTACCTTTTGGTGATCCCATCTGTGCTGTTCTTGTGGCAGCGTTTGTGAAGGAGTCTCACAAGTGGGCAGTTGATCGATACCTGATTTCGCGGCAACTGAGGAAAATATGTATGGCTGCTAATCAATGTCAGTTTCTATCCAGATTGCCTAAACGAGTGTCTGGAGTTGTAGGCACCCCGAAATGACTGATAGGCTATCACTAAGTCCCCGCTCCACTTTCATTCTCCCCTTAAAAAAGGCTTTCAAATAAATCACGGTTGTACGGCAGCGACACTGGTGTCGTGTTGTCTATGCTGATGGTAGGAGGTTTTGAAAAATATTACGAAGAGTTTGGATGTTGATGGTGCAATCTACCTCTCAGGATGGTGTTCCCCCTCTTGCCCTTAACTAGAGACACCGCGTGAATTGGCGACTGATCGGTGTCAGTGGAGCTCGTGTTGAGTTTCTTTCCAGAGTGTCCGACAGCGCTAGGAGGTGTGGGCACCTCAGAATGCTTGCGACAGGCCATCATCCTGTTCCCTCCTTCACCCACTCCTTTCTCATCTTTTCATTCTAAGGCTTGAAATATAATTAGACAAACGCTGCGGTTGTACGACAGATAAGCATTGGTGTCAACACTAATGTTGGTGTCTCTGATGATGATGACCTACTGGAAGCACTCCGCTTCACTCAGATCCTTATCGAACGGGATTTTGGGAGATATTTCTGTCGTGCATCCCTGTAGAGGTTGAACCCTAAAGTACATGTGACTCTGTTCACGGAGAGGTCACATTGGCCAACTCTATCACAGACATTCTAGGCTTTGTCGATGAGTCGGCGGATCTCTGCATGATTAAATCTTTAAATAAAATCGACAGCACCCGGTCGTCGATCGTGTGCCTGACAAGTGTTTCTTAATGCATGATCCCCGACTCACTGCTGTTTTTGACCTACAAAAACGAACTGGCTAGCATTTTGTACTGGGTGTACTACGTTTTCACGAACGACGTCAGGATTAGCAGCATCTCTGCCACACAGGATGTGCAGCCCAAAGTGAAATTAGCACTCAGCATTCCACAATTAACCATCACTGCATTGGTAACGAGCGTGTGTCTGACACACGGCAAAATGTGAAAAAAGTCACGTTTGCGACATTCAAAGCCGTCTTACTTAAGCGGTACGATCGAACAATTGGATATCACGACGGTCGGAGTCCTGACTGGTGGTAGGAAATTCACATGAGAATGGAACGAGTGCGATGGCGCCAAATAATGGATAGTCTAAGAAATGATGGATCATCGATGAACAGAAGTGTATAACATGCACGCGGCTGAAGAAAGTGATGATGCGAGAAATGAACCTCGTTCCATGGCTACACAATCTAACCCATGGCGGATAACTTGCCGGTCTAAACCTACATTCTGCACCCTGCAGGACGTTACGAGCTACCTCCTAGTTCCATATCTCTACAAACACATCGTTCAGCTGTAGCACCCTTCCGGTGCCTAACTGCTATGCTACCCGAAGGTTGCACGAGTGCTGGGATACTACCAGTTTGCCCAAGCCTAGACAGGGGAAGTCGAGAGGCAGAGGTCGGGTTCGAACCGCAGACCTTCCAGTCAGTAAATTCGCGCTCTAACCCCTTGGGTGGGATACTGCCAGTTTGCCCAAGCCTAGACAGGGGAAGTCGAGAGGCAGAGGTCGGGTTCGAACCGCAGACCTTCCAGTCAGTAAATTCGCGCTCTAACCACTTGGGCCATCTCGCTCCTACCAACACATCGTCATGATCATCGACAGCATGACATCAATGTTGAACACGTGCTTCGTAGTTAGCCCCATCTTTCGTTGCTTTCATCACTGTCGAAAACCAACCTTGGATGTAAACTAGAATTTCAGCACAGTCCCGTGGACTTCCGTGAGGACTTCTTTCTTCATATTAACCTCGTCTGGAACTATCCTAATTCCTAATTCGTTTTTCCTCTCTCTGGTAGCTTTTAGGCAACGACTGGTAGCAAACTGAACTCAAAAACAATTCGCCGCTTCTTCAACTGATCCCACGATGCACAATATTCACTGCAAGATGTGGGATTTAAAAAGCACGAGCTTAGTGACCTTGCCACCATCATATAAACCCTGTCCATGGTGCCACACTTGTTCCAGTCTGCAGCTTGAAGGGCAGAGGCCTGTTCGCTGACCAAACTAGGAGGGATCACGCTGCATGTGCGTGATCCATTCTGGTCTACTGGCTTGCCGTGAGGTGCGAACCGCTACATCACAAAAGGGTCATACCTCTTCGCCACGAAGATAATGCACCAGTATCTCCTTGATCCGCACCGTTCTTTTTTCCCCTTCCAGACTGTTGCGAACTTCCTGTTTTCGAAGTTTCGCTGCCGTGTATTGCTCCCACGCCGTGCACAGTACTGTGTGCATGATTTTCCGTTCTTTACCGGCTTTTGAAATGACTGGCAATGAAGCGAACAGTGTCATAGTAAGTTTGGCTTTCCGATTTCACTGGATCAGATTCCTGATAGCTATCCACATCTACCACTGGACTTGTTTTGTATGCCCAAAACGTATGAGAATACTCTGTCCCACATTATGATCCCTGAAGGCATGGTGAGAGATAGGTATGCCATTATTTGTTTCATGTATCCAGGGTTAAGAAGATGGCACTAGAAATTGTGAAGTTTTATGAGCACAGTGGCTCTGGTCAACCGCTTACTTTACTATGTGTACTTAAGGGCGCAGTCCGCTTTCTTGGGGAGTTGCACCACGCAATGGAAAAGATAATCAGAGCCAAGGAACTGGACCTTGAGTTAGAACAGTCATTCGTTCGGTTACAAAGCTACCTGGTAATGGTATTGCTTCCTCTATTTTCTCAGAATGATAGGTCCGTTCAGGAGCCAGTGATTACAGGCCTTCACGATCCATCGGAATTCAAGGATAAAGTAAGCAGTTTCCGCATTGCATCACCCAATTCTCCAGGACATACTCATAGTTGAGGATCTCATTGACACGGGAAGGTCGATGCGGGCCTTGTTGGCTCAACTTGATGACCTATCTCCTCTAAGGGTGAAAATATCTAGGTAAGTCTCCCTGGTATCAAGCCTTCTCAGAGAGGTCGAATCGTCCAACGGACTTTTTGCTGCTACTGGTGTTACAACTTTCGGTAGGATGTTGCCAGGATGTGGAGTCACTCTTTGTATACCAGTTAGTGTTACTTTTAGAAAGAATGACTTTCCGATATTATGCGCTGAGTGGGAATTAACAGGGGTGATTATGAATTTTGTCTGGTCTCCTCAGTGGTCGATGTTTGCATGCATCGTCAGACTACAGCAGAGGTATATCGAAGTGTTAGTACATTGTTCACGTTCCTTGGGTGTGCATCCACTCACTGAACCTGACCGTCGTTCACTTGGGGCGTGCCTTCAGCTCTTGACGAGACGCCTGGGAAAACAGATGCCCAAGTCGGCGAGCAGATCGACATTCTACAGATGGTTGGGGCAGAATGGTGTTTGCAGGAATACCCTTCCGTTGATCGGGTGGCTGGCAGGTTTGGTTTGGAGACCGTGCCAACTCCCCTTCTAGGATTCATGTCAAATTGTGCTCAACCATATCGCTTGATACCAACAATCTACGAACCAACCATGTACACAGGTTGACCACATTATGATCGGCTACCGCTGTGTTCAAGACTGCCGATCATAGTTGACTCTGACTTCGTCCCGGTATGTTTGAAGATTTTAGCCACTTGGTGCAGCCCGCGGAAACCGCGTTGTTGAATGTGAGTCTGCGTTTACTTCGCTTTTATCGATCCCCCCACCTTAAGCTAAGGTTGACCACTGGCCGCACCCTCCATGCGATGCGGACATTCCGGTGGATGGGGATTACAACATTTGGAGCATTCTCTGAAAGACTCAAAAGAAGCGTCGGAATGGACGAATAAGTCTTGTGGATTTTACGTCATTCCTCAGTGCAATTCGCCTCCGTGTCGGAAAACTGTTCTTATTCACTCTATAATTTGTTAAAAAATATCGTTCAGCTGGAAAACCCCTTCGGTGTCAAGCTGCCATGCCACCCGAAGGAAGCACGAGAGATGTGATACTGCCAAGTTGCCCCAACCTAGACAGGGGAAGTCAAGAAGTAGTACAAGGAGGTTTCGGTTCATCAGTGTCACTGAACAAGAAGCAGGTCGTATAGGTCGAACGATTTCGTTGGCTGCAAGACGCGGCTTGTACTGTGTCAGTGTATAACACAGATTGGGGACTGTGTTGAAGTGCAATAGTTGTTTTGAATTCACTGTGTTCAGTCAAGTATTCGAGTTTTCGCACATGCTTTTCTACACTCACACTCCTCCTTGTTTGCAGATAGAGAGATGGGGGCATACGCCGCGCCCCTCGGTTGGACATAGATCCTGAGTACCACGATTGCAGCATCATAGTCAGTTCAATCAGCGAGATAGTCATACACGGAGGTATCGATGACGTGAATTGGTGCGTCTAAGTAGTCTCCCTCGTTCATTCGACGTCTTAGAAGGACATTCAAAACCAGTGGTCATCTTTTAGTGGCGTCAGGAACGCCATCGAATCACCTGGATGTAATAATGATGGTATGACACATAGTGTTATTAATTGTATGAATTGTTATTCTTGAATAAGAGCTCAGTTAAGCCCAAAACGTTGGGATTCAGAATAGTGAATAGCGCCTTATTCGACGTACGAGTTAAAATACAGATTGGGGAGAAAGTAATGCAATGCAAGACTAAATAACGGGACAAATTAATTAACACCTGCACCAAATCTTCCACCGAGATGGATCTAATGGAGGTCAATTCTTCCTAACTGGGCATTCAAATCGCCAAACTTGACCATCCACAATGGTGTTGGTTTTTCTTGAAGGAGTCTTTGACAGCGTCGCTTCCTCGTGTTGTTAAGTCGTGTGCAAATGTAACGAAGAGTTCGCGTTTGAAAGTGTTGGTTGCTCGCCGTGAAAAGATTCGACCTTTTCGCGGTGTGGCTGTTTACACACCTCCATAATCCATGGAGCTGTACTGGGGAGTGTGCTTGTGACACTAATTGTTAAATGTCTGTCTCTTGGTCCTCCAGGTTTGGAGTCGGGACAAGTATGGCAACTTGCTCCTCAAAAATACAGACTGTTCTTATGCTAACCACCTACAGGTTACCGCTAGCTTTTTCGGATAAAAAACTTCTGTCCCTAAGACGTTGTATATAGCCCAGCTAGTCTACAACGGCTTGTATAGAGTTTTTCAAAGATGCTCACTGGTCGTTTACCCGGACCAAATGAGTTTATGGACGGTCGACTTCTTTTCTGGTTGCTATTGCATCAGAAGGTGCCTGTCCGTTCTCCAGGCGGCTGAATGATCCTGTGCTGTTACGCTTTGGAGGACACTTCTCATCTATCAACAAGATGCCTTTAGCTCAGTGGTCAGAGCTGATCAGAAGTTCTGTGGTTCAAACCCGACCTCTTCATTTCGAATCCCCCTGTCTAGGCTTGGGAAACCTGGCAGTATCCCAGCCCTCGTGCTTCCTTCTGGTGGCATGGCATTAAAAAGTTCCTATTGCTGAGCAAGGAGGAATTTAAGCCTCGTTCGCACACGCGTGCTACGTGTATCGGCGGCGTTTCCAGAATCTGTCCTTATGAGATCTGCAGCCTTCAAATTACTATACTCATCGTGCGTGCGTCAGATTGTGAGGGAGGTCCTTTGACCATCGAGTGAATACCCCGTCAATAAGTGTTCTTTTTTATGAACGGAGTACGGAAAAAGGGGTATTAGTAGCGATGAACTGATTAAGGGAGTCGAGGCTTATGAGCCTGACACCATTTTCGAGCTCTGATCCAGTCCAAACAGGTGACAGAGATTGTTGCCTCCTACGTTTCAGACACCTGCTACCATTAAGAAGCTTTGCTTGGAGGCCAGCTACCGAGATTTTTCATAGAACCTCCCGTTTACGGTTGGGTCCGATAGAGAAGTGGGGGCCTCAGCAGCAACACAGTCAAGTTATTGAGGCTTCTTTTGAATCGAGCAGCTGCAATTCCAAAGGATACTGTATTCCAGACGGTAAGGTAGTCAGTTTACTTACAATATTCGCAACACCATGAGTGCCCCACTTGTCCGTTAGTCCCCTGTGATGGAGCCAATAACAAAGCGTCTGATCCGACACCCCGAGTTTGTCAGTTGCGAGAGTTCGCTAACCGGAGCTCCGGAAGACAGCTGATCGTTGTTCGATAGTCGTGAAGACTGTGCATGCAGGTAATCTAGCAACAGAGTACGAACATTCCCACAACTAAGAAAAAGGTTTCAAATTTAAGAATTCGGGACTCCAGCTTGCGTTTTCGTCAGCCTGCCCTGTAGGCCAGAACAGGGCGTTTCACTTTTTGGGGGGACAATGCATCGTCAAAGACATTACATGGGTGTTTCATGGGACTTTGTTACAGGTTGCCTTTTAAGCTCCATCCCAGTGCGTATACCTACCCAGGTTCGGCTCACAGGGCAGCGGTTGATATGCAGAGAACGGCTGATTAGAAACAACAGAATGACTACCTGATTCTAAAAGTCGTTCTGCCCGCGCCATACACCGGAGATGATCTATATTCTCGCCTTCGTTGGTTCATAATCATTGTTTACTCAGCTCTTTTGGACAGGCAACTAAGTGGCCGTCAACCAGGTTGTAGCTCTTGACACATGCTTTCATCCGTTCACCTTGGAGAAAACATCCCACCCGAAATTGCGAAAAGGATTTCTTCAGCAGAGGCTAAATGGCCATATAGGAGCAAAGGGCGACGTAACTTGTTTCCGAAATCCCCCCATACTGAATCATTAGGAAGCGTTTACTTGTGACCGTTTGAGTGCTCTTGGTTGGCCGGTTCTCTTTACTCGCTAATACTCACACATCGATCACAGAAAATCGGAACAGATTAAACTTAGAGCTACACTTTTGGGCCTCGAATACAATGAGTAAAATGACCTCCTCGGTGAATATGATGGTGATATGAGGGCTCTTAACTGATCTTTCCTATGCTCACTATACTATTTGACGTTTGTTGAATAACAAATGCTCATCAGTGTCTGGTTGGAGATACTGCAAGATGTCTGCTAATGGATGTGAATAACGTTCTTGTTGTCAGTTTCTATCCAGATTGCCTGAATGACTGTCTGGAGTTGTAGACACCGCGGAATGATTGTAATAAAGAAGCACGAAGTCCCTTCCCGCTCCACTGTTATTCTCTTCAAAATGAGACCTTCAAAATAAATCATGGTTATGTTGTAGCAAATTATCAGTGTTGGACAGTGATGTCATGGTGTCTATGATGGTGTCGTGAAATGAGGGTTCACTTGTACGATCACTTAATGAGTTGCATCTGGGTCTCTATGTGAACTGTCACCTGTTCATTGTGATAAGTTACGAGCTGAGTGAACGGCAAAAGAAGAAACTACTCACAAGATTGCTGAAAACTCTTCAACAGCCCACGACCGGTTTCACCCTTCTTGGGGCTCATCAGGTAGGCGCAGTCCCCGAGTTTCCGTCAACCTTATGTTCTGCTTGAATTCGGATTGGACTGATTTCGACAAATACACTCATTCGCAAATCAATTTGATTTTCACGAGAGACCCAATTGAATCTATCGTTTACGATATTACTCAACTTTTTTCCTCTTTTTCTTTCAGTTTGCTGGTCAAGCGAATCCCGTCTGGTATCCAGGTCAAACCCGACTGTAAGTTATTTACGTGAATGCTACGTGTTCAGTTCCTGCTCCGTTTTTCATGGCTGTTTGTGACTGCCTATTTCAGTTCCATGCATTGTTTGCTTTCTACTTTGTTTCGGCCATCTCTCCCTCCTCCTCCTCCTTATCATCATCATCAAGAGAGAGAGAGTAGCATCAGTGTTTACACCGATGCTTCACCGTTGTACGACCCTAAATTGCAAAGAATGGTGGATGAGGAAGGGACTTTTTGCTAACTTACCGCATGAAGATGAACCGGTTCTTGGATGTCTCGAATCGCAGCTCCCCAAACGCGGCGGTCGGTCGTGAGGCTCCCGCAGATATCGATTTATTGCCGATTTTATTGGCGTGGGCCGTTCAATGATGTTCATTGTGGGTCTTAACAGCGTCGCTCCAGGTTATCATTTGAGCACCTCTACGGAAATGCCATTCTTGTACATCGTTTCCTCCTCACCGCAATCTTGATGTGCAAATGTTAGATGATGCAATTATAATCTTAAAGAATCGTTTTGAAGTCTACAGTGGATTCATTGTAGAAAACTTAAATCCATTCGGAGGAGGACTGGTGCGGTAATTTGATGTAAGCTACTTTTGCGAAATTTCGCATCTTCCTAGGCATTCGGAGCACAACCATAAAGTGTACCGATTTGCATAAGTACCGTTAGTCAGCTTATCCACGATTACATACTGTTTTGCCTGTGTGAAATAATTGCATGCTGCAGTCCAAATTCGGTATGTAAAACGACCGATCAGTCAATCAGCCAGTCGATCGGCTGGTCAGTTCGTTATCCATAAACAGTGTACCATTGGCACCTTGGTTCCAGCTGTCACCTTTTCGGTCACCGGAAAGTTGAGGAGTTTGGAACATACAGCCAAGCATTGGAGGCGATGGCATGTTTGGTTAGTTCGAAAACTGGTACGCGTTGAAGGCGATAGCTTTGATGAACGAGTGCCATTGATTGTACGATTGAGTAATTTCTGCCAGTGTTACTAACCGTTGGTGAGTTAAGTCCCGGCGCCCCCATCTATGGAGGCAGCAGTTGTCGACCCGACTCAGTTTATCGATTATTGTTTTCATACTTCGCTGCCAGGTCATAAACTGTCCACCTCTCGGTCGCTTCCAGTCAGCACAGGGTTGAGTGAAGGGAGCTCTACGGAGCAGACGGTCCTCTGACATGCGGAGTACATGTAACCAGCGTAACCCATGAATCATGGATAATCCAGCTCTCATAGGAGAGTTCTGTCTTTATAAAACTACGTGGTGTACTTCGGCGTTAGTTATCCCAGCAGGCCTGACCAATGCTTCAGAGACACCAATGGTCAAACACTGGCCATTTTCGTGTGTATTCTGCGCGTAGAGACCATGTTTATGATCCACAACGCAGCATGAGTTGCATTACTGCAGTGTACACACCGCTCTTGACAGACAAACTGACGTCACGTCGGCGCCATAGGTGTCGGACGTTGAAAAAGCTGTCCTGACCTGAGTGCAACTCCTACACCATAGATACCACTAGCCATTGCGTCAGGATCACCTCACACTCGAAGGCAATATACATCGACAGAGAGGGAAAGCACAACTTTACCAAGAGATAACTGTTGCCCAGCTTGACATAGAGTACGGACATTGAAGTCTGCAACTTGGATTAAATCTTTTGAGGTTAGTGAGCTATTAGTTTGGCTTATTTTTCTGGGTGATAGTTCAGATACGGAACAACGACGGGAGGGCGGACTGACAGGTGAGTTGGTCACATCACTCGATGAACAGAAAGGGTGTGTGAGGGAGTACTGGTGGTGTTCGTGAAGGCTTTTACCAGGCTGAGCTAACCTATTTCGAAACTCCAGTATCCACTCTAGCGTGTCCTATTGTAAAGTATATCCGTCCGAAAATTCGATGTGCTATCACATGCCAGACCATCCTACTCTGAAGTGGCCTAAGTACTTGTCACTTAAGTCTGAACTGAGCTTATTGCACTTCATTTATGGGTATAAATGTTATTTAGATGAATTGTGGACAACTTCACCATCAACACAATCCACTTTTCATGTGATCTTACGGAGTTCATGGAATTATTCGCAGTTGGAACTTAGGGATGTTGAGTTCCGCGTAATGACTTTCGGTATATGGAGCATACGTTCGTTTTGCGCATGTCCCTCTATGAAACCACATAATTAGATATGCTCAGTTTTCATCACTCTATGTCGTTCTTCTTTTGGTGAGCAATCAATAGTATCCTCACGAGCTTCGTTCTGGGTGTGGTATTGACAGCGTTTATCCACTAAATTCTGAACCAAAGTACACTGCTAGGGTGTGTCCATGAAGTAGGATTAGTAGAACGTTTACAGATTAATACCCGTCTTTCGTCCACATCGGACAGATTTACAGATTGAACCTAGTTTCCTATCCATTTTACTGACTGCCACTTACCCTATTCAAGTACAATCTTTTAGTGTGCAATCCGCCCCTCTATTGCTTTTCTAGTGAGGGCGTTCTGCGAAAAAGGTTTTGTTACTTGTTCAGCAAAAGCCCAATACGAGAGGGGAGATGGAGATAGGATAACTGTTGTCACTTCAGGTCGCACTCGTGGACAATCCGAATTGCCATAACCACACCCTGTTCCTAAATTTTGTAATATCGCTTATTATACTTCTTACAACAGAGATGTCCATATCCCATGTGTCACTCATATGGTTACCTTACGTACGCAGTAGGGCGTTCACAAGATGGACCGTCAGGTCATTCAGAGGTCCCGGTGTTGAGGATGTTCGATAACGGACCTGGTATACTTTAATCGCCTGGTAGAGATAATGGCGCTATTCATGCATGTATAGATCACGTGTGTTAATCCGGCCCTCCAGACTATGCCACGTTAGTTGTTTAGACGTAACGCGCTACTCATAAAGCTGCTGAAATCTCTTCGCCACATTAGTTCTTAGCAGTACTTTTTCCACCTTTTCTCTAGTCTGCTCTTAGAGGTCGCATAACCTAGGGTTGTCCTTTGACGTTTCGGTGTCTTTCCCCGGATACATCCTATGGGTCAATGAAGACAACTAGAGGAGGAATTGTGCTCTTTGGATGGGTGTAACATCAGCCTTATGTTTACTTCATCTCTTGCTTACCTACCTTCGTCTCCGCAGTAAGCGTTCTGGCAACTTTCTATGCAAGGTAGCAGGATATCTGTTTTCTATTTCTGCATCGTTAGTCCCTCGTCCTGGTGCTGGTTGGATTGCGAAGACATAGGAACGTTGGACCACTGGGATACTTGCTAGTTTCAAGCAGATCGTGACGCTTTGCGTGTTTTTGTGGGAACATGGACAGTGGGTGACGTAACCATCAAATGTAGGGTCCTTGAAAGTAGGGTTTGGCCGTATTGTTTTGAGTCGCCGAGGTGATTCATGTTTTTGAAAAATAGACGAACTGAACAGATTTTTCGTACATTTACATTCACTGGTGAGTATATATGTTACGTGTATTTTCATCGTTGCATTTTTTCGATGCGTGACTCACAGTTACTGAGCTACGAATAGCCACAGGTAATATCAACCGCCTGCAACAAGGGGTCATTTCTAACACAGGAACACTTTTCGTTTGCAATTTTTAGTTGTTGGATTCGAAATTCCGAATGAATTCGTCGTCGGTTATGCTTTGGACTACAACGAGCACTTTCGTGACCTGCCAGTAAGTGTGCCTAAGACTTTCCTCAGTTGTCCTGGTTTTTAATCCCAGTTCGAAATGCAGGGTATGTAACCGGTTGTAAGTCTGTTTTCCGGTTTATCGAAGAAGGTAGACTTGAAAGACATCTAAGTGGTTTTTGTTTCGGTGTTCAAAAGTGGATTCCCAAGCATTTGAAGGCGCTACTGCAGACGGACGTGTAGGTGAGGGCTTGGGCTGTGCAAAACGAACAGAGCGTTCATTTCTGGCGTTGGATACTGATGAGAGAATAGCCAAGCTAGGGGAGAAGGATTAGGTGCGGTGGAATAAAGGAGGGACAGGTTGCTCAAGTGGTTAGAGTGCCAATTTACTGACCGGAAGGCCCGTGGTTTCAACCCGACTTCTGCCTCTCGACTTCCCCTGTCTAAGCTTGGGCAACCTGGCAATATCCCAGTCCTCGTGCCTTTTTCGGGTGGCATGGTAGCTAGGCACCGGAAGGGTGTTACAGCTGAACATTTTCTAAGTGTCAAATTTCTCGTTTGCTTTAATATGTACAAGACCACACGACGGATGGTTTTGGCGTGAATTCATCGTAAGTTTTGAGGCTGATAATTAGGTGCCCGTTGATCGGATTGGACTGATTTCGACAAATACACTCATTCGCAAATCAATTTGATTTTCACGAGAGACCCAATTGAATCTATCGTTTACGATATTACTCAACTTTTTTCCTCTTTTTCTTTCAGTTTGCTGGTCAAGCGAATCCCGTCTGGTATCCAGGTCAAACCCGACTGTAAGTTATTTACGTGAATGCTACGTGTTCAGTTCCTGCTCCGTTTTTCATGGCTGTTTGTGACTGCCTATTTCAGTTCCATGCATTGTTTGCTTTCTACTTTGTTTCGGCCATCTCTCCCTCCTCCTCCTCCTTATCATCATCATCAAGAGAGAGAGAGAGACATCAGTGTTTACACCGATGCTTCACCGTTGTACGACCCTAAATTGCAAAGAATGGTGGATGAGGAAGGGACTTTTTGCTAACTTACCGCATCCGATGCTTCACCGTTGTACGACCCTAAATTGCAAAGAATGGTGGATGAGGAAGGGACTTTTTGCTAACTTACCGCATGAAGATGAACCGGTTCTTGGATGTCTCGAATCGCAGCTCCCCAAACGCGGCGGTCGGTCGTGAGGCTCCCGCAGATATCGATTTATTGCCGATTTTATTGGCGTGGGCCGTTCAATGATGTTCATTGTGGGTCTTAACAGCGTCGCTCCAGGTTATCATTTGAGCACCTCTACGGAAATGCCATTCTTGTACATCGTTTCCTCCTCACCGCAATCTTGATGTGCAAATGTTAGATGATGCAATTATAATCTTAAAGAATCGTTTTGAAGTCTACAGTGGATTCATTGTAGAAAACTTAAATCCATTCGGAGGAGGACTGGTGCGGTAATTTGATGTAAGCTACTTTTGCGAAATTTCGCATCTTCCTAGGCATTCGGAGCACAACCATAAAGTGTACCGATTTGCATAAGTACCGTTAGTCAGCTTATCCACGATTACATACTGTTTTGCCTGTGTGAAATAATTGCATGCTGCAGTCCAAATTCGGTATGTAAAACGACCGATCAGTCAATCAGCCAGTCGATCGGCTGGTCAGTTCGTTATCCATAAACAGTGTACCATTGGCACCTTGGTTCCAGCTGTCACCTTTTCGGTCACCGGAAAGTTGAGGAGTTTGGAACATACAGCCAAGCATTGGAGGCGATGGCATGTTTGGTTAGTTCGAAAACTGGTACGCGTTGAAGGCGATAGCTTTGATGAACGAGTGCCATTGATTGTACGATTGAGTAATTTCTGCCAGTGTTACTAACCGTTGGTGAGTTAAGTCCCGGCGCCCCCATCTATGGAGGCAGCAGTTGTCGACCCGACTCAGTTTATCGATTATTGTTTTCATACTTCGCTGCCAGGTCATAAACTGTCCACCTCTCGGTCGCTTCCAGTCAGCACAGGGTTGAGTGAAGGGAGCTCTACGGAGCAGACGGTCCTCTGACATGCGGAGTACATGTAACCAGCGTAACCCATGAATCATGGATAATCCAGCTCTCATAGGAGAGTTCTGTCTTTATAAAACTACGTGGTGTACTTCGGCGTTAGTTATCCCAGCAGGCCTGACCAATGCTTCAGAGACACCAATGGTCAAACACTGGCCATTTTCGTGTGTATTCTGCGCGTAGAGACCATGTTTATGATCCACAACGCAGCATGAGTTGCATTACTGCAGTGTACACACCGCTCTTGACAGACAAACTGACGTCACGTCGGCGCCATAGGTGTCGGACGTTGAAAAAGCTGTCCTGACCTGAGTGCAACTCCTACACCATAGATACCACTAGCCATTGCGTCAGGATCACCTCACACTCGAAGGCAATATACATCGACAGAGAGGGAAAGCACAACTTTACCAAGAGATAACTGTTGCCCAGCTTGACATAGAGTACGGACATTGAAGTCTGCAACTTGGATTAAATCTTTTGAGGTTAGTGAGCTATTAGTTTGGCTTATTTTTCTGGGTGATAGTTCAGATACGGAACAACGACGGGAGGGCGGACTGACAGGTGAGTTGGTCACATCACTCGATGAACAGAAAGGGTGTGTGAGGGAGTACTGGTGGTGTTCGTGAAGGCTTTTACCAGGCTGAGCTAACCTATTTCGAAACTCCAGTATCCACTCTAGCGTGTCCTATTGTAAAGTATATCCGTCCGAAAATTTGATGTGCTATCACATGCCAGACCATCCTACTCTGAAGTGGCCTAAGTACTTGTCACTTAAGTCTGAACTGAGCTTATTGCACTTCATTTATGGGTATAAATGTTATTTAGATGAATTGTGGACAACTTCACCATCAACACAATCCACTTTTCATGTGATCTTACGGAGTTCATGGAATTATTCGCAGTTGGAACTTAGGGATGTTGAGTTCCGCGTAATGACTTTCGGTATATGGAGCATACGTTCGTTTTGCGCATGTCCCTCTATGAGACCACATAATTAGATATGCTCAGTTTTCACCACTCTATGTCGTTCTTCTTTTGGTGAGCAATCAATAGTATCCTCACGAGCTTCGTTCTGGGTGTGGTATTGACAGCGTTTATCCACTAAATTCTGAACCAAAGTACACTGCTAGGGTGTGTCCATGAAGTAGGATTAGTAGAACGTTTACAGATTAATACCCGTCTTTCGTCCACATCGGACAGATTTACAGATTGAACCTAGTTTCCTATCCATTTTACTGACTGCCACTTACCCTATTCAAGTACAATCTTTTAGTGTGCAATCCGCCCCTCTATTGCTTTTCTAGTGAGGGCGTTCTGCGAAAAAGGTTTTGTTACTTGTTCAGCAAAAGCCCAATACGAGAGGGGAGATGGAGATAGGATAACTGTTGTCACTTCAGGTCGCACTCGTGGACAATCCGAATTGCCATAACCACACCCTGTTCCTAAATTTTGTAATATCGCTTATTATACTTCTTACAACAGAGATGTCCATATCCCATGTGTCACTCATATGGTTACCTTACGTACGCAGTAGGGCGTTCACAAGATGGACCGTCAGGTCATTCAGAGGTCCCGGTGTTGAGGATGTTCGATAACGGACCTGGTATACTTTAATCGCCTGGTAGAGATAATGGCGCTATTCATGCATGTATAGATCACGTGTGTTAATCCGGCCCTCCAGACTATGCCACGTTAGTTGTTTAGACGTAACGCGCTACTCATAAAGCTGCTGAAATCTCTTCGCCACATTAGTTCTTAGCAGTACTTTTTCCACCTTTTCTCTAGTCTGCTCTTAGAGGTCGCATAACCTAGGGTTGTCCTTTGACGTTTCGGTGTCTTTCCCCGGATACATCCTATGGGTCAATGAAGACAACTAGAGGAGGAATTGTGCTCTTTGGATGGGTGTAACATCAGCCTTATGTTTACTTCATCTCTTGCTTACCTACCTTCGTCTCCGCAGTAAGCGTTCTGGCAACTTTCTATGCAAGGTAGCAGGATATCTGTTTTCTATTTCTGCATCGTTAGTCCCTCGTCCTGGTGCTGGTTGGATTGCGAAGACATAGGAACGTTGGACCACTGGGATACTTGCTAGTTTCAAGCAGATCGTGACGCTTTGCGTGTTTTTGTGGGAACATGGACAGTGGGTGACGTAACCATCAAATGTAGGGTCCTTGAAAGTAGGGTTTGGCCGTATTGTTTTGAGTCGCCGAGGTGATTCATGTTTTTGAAAAATAGACGAACTGAACAGATTTTTCGTACATTTACATTCACTGGTGAGTATATATGTTACGTGTATTTTCATCGTTGCATTTTTTCGATGCGTGACTCACAGTTACTGAGCTACGAATAGCCACAGGTAATATCAACCGCCTGCAACAAGGGGTCATTTCTAACACAGGAACACTTTTCGTTTGCAATTTTTAGTTGTTGGATTCGAAATTCCGAATGAATTCGTCGTCGGTTATGCTTTGGACTACAACGAGCACTTTCGTGACCTGCCAGTAAGTGTGCCTAAGACTTTCCTCAGTTGTCCTGGTTTTTAATCCCAGTTCGAAATGCAGGGTATGTAACCGGTTGTAAGTCTGTTTTCCGGTTTATCGAAGAAGGTAAACTTGAAAGACATCTAAGTGGTTTTTGTTTCGGTGTTCAAAAGTGGATTCCCAAGCATTTGAAGGCGCTACTGCAGACGGACGTGTAGGTGAGGGCTTGGGCTGTGCAAAACGAACAGAGCGTTCATTTCTGGCGTTGGATACTGATGAGAGAATAGCCAAGCTAGGGGAGAAGGACTAGGTGCGGTGGAATAAAGGAGGGACAGATTGCTCAAGTGGTTAGAGTGCCAATTTACTGACCGGAAGGCCCGTGGTTTCAACCCGACTTCTGCCTCTCGACTTCCCCTGTCTAAGCTTGGGCAACCTGGCAATATCCCAGTCCTCGTGCCTTTTTCGGGTGGCATGGTAGCTAGGCACCGGAAGGGTGTTACAGCTGAACATTTTCTAAGTGTCAAATTTCTCGTTTGCTTTAATATGTACAAGACCACACGACGGATGGTTTTGGCGTGAATTCATCGTAAGTTTTGAGGCTGATAATTAGGTGCCCGTTGAGGCTCTCGTCCAAACTTCTTGGTTCAGAGGACTGACTGCGACATAGCGAGTGGGCGTCGGTATTCTGCCACCATAGTAGTATAGGCATTTTAAATATCAGCTTTAACTGTATGTTCCATCCCGCAAATCTGCAGGACGAATAAATCGTATTCGTGACACCTATTTCCACTGACCATGTAGTACGAGGGAATATGGATGTTGTGGTGTAGCCCTCGGGTGTTGGTCGGTGGGTTACAGAAGCATTCAGGCTGTTGTACCATGATAAGATCCAGTCGCTTTTTTGGCTGTCCACCTGGCTTTCGAAGATCCATATAGTTTCTTCGTGCCCAACCCAGAGGAATCAATCAAGATGTGGCCAGTTTTACAGTTAAAAACGATTGGAAGTTTTGGGTGACTCCGCTGTACCTCGGTATGTCGATCAAAGCTGATTTATCCTTTGCCATCCACCAGAGGTCTGGCTTTGGTTGTGCAGTTATAGTATACGACCGAATTGGGTTCGCCCAAAGCTGGTAAGATGCCAGCCTCTTTCCTACCAGATTTTTATTAGTAATAAAGCTGTCCTGAAAACAAACAGGGGGACCTTTTCCGGTCTACTTGACTTGTCCCAACACATTTTGTCAGCTCCGTGGCGTTCTCGATGCAATTTTATCAGCACGACCTGTGGATTGTAAAACCGAACTACACCAGTACTGATTTTCCAACATAACACAAGTCCAGCACCTGGTACCAAAACAGCTTTTCCAATGTGTTTATGTAAGTATTCGGGGTACGCAAACAGAGAGAAAATAGAACTGACATAATGATTACCATGTTGGTGAGAACCACCTATGCACAACAGCTCTTGTTTATTTGACTTTCAAATTACATATCACTACTGCTTACAGTGACACGACCGATGGATGTGTGGAGGCTGTGAAGTCGCATCGAGTTCTAAAAAGCCGACACATTTTGGTACCCATGTGTACCATTCAGATTCGCGTCTCTGATTTATGGCATCATTGTTTGAATCTGTCCGATCCGCTGAAACGTATAATGCGTTCAGGGTACGTGTAAATCAAGTAGATGGCTACTCTCTGCTGTTGGCAAACGAGTGTCTTGATAACCTGTATTAAAACACTACCTGGATAAGGAGTTTGAACTTAATCGTCAAGTCTGTTCGAAGTGAACTTCGAAGTGATCACCCTTGAAAAAAGGGGCTCTCAGCGCAGCTGAAAAGATCTAGTTAAGCGGTGCACTTTTGCTTTGACTTTGCTGATTTTTCGCCTGAAGCCTATCTGGAATTCGTGAGTCGATCGAATAACGCAGTGAACCTTCGCATGCATTGTCCTGCTTAGTAAACATTGTGGACTGCTTTTAGAGAAATACAATCATTTGCAAATCAGTTGGATTTTTCAGGAGAGACTCAACTGAATCTCTGCAACTGAATGTGCTGCACACAGGCCGCCTCATGTTTCAGTCGGCACGATATTCGAGACATCGCAGTATATGTTCATAACAGAAACTATTCACAAGGTTGCTGAAAACTCTTCGACAGCTCACGACCGGCTTCGCCCTTCCTGGGGCTCATTAGGTAGGCGCACTCACCGAGTTTCCGTCAACCTTATGTTCTACTTGAACCCAAATTGGACTGTTTTCGAGAAGTACACTCATTTGCAAATCAATTTGGTTTTCACGAGACATTCAACTGAATATCATAAACGATGAATTCAATTGAGTCTCTCGTGAAAACCAAATGAGTGTATTTCTCGAAAACATTGCATATCTTATACAAGAAAGCGTTCGTAACTGGGTGAAACAAAAAAAAACCCTGACCAAACAAAGTTAAGCGATTAAAACTGTGCTTCGTAGCCACAATGATGACGCGTGGATGACGATGAATAGAGCTCAATCAGTAAACAGTTCTCAATAGTTCAGGTCTAAAAGAGCCCGAAGAGGTCGTGAGCTGTCGCAGAGTTTTCAGCAGCCTTGTGAGTAGTTTCCTTTATGAAAATTGTGGACTGCTATTCATTACCGTTTTGGGCCACAGTTGCTGGAGGTGAATTTCACGCTGATCGAGTTTAACTGTATACTTTCCTCCGCAGGTCATCTAACCTGTGCACAATCAGAGATCTCCTGCAGACAGGACCAAACATATTGTACTGTCCGCTGGCTAAGAGACGGGCCGTTTTTTAACCCTTTGTGTTTCATGAAAAATGACAGCCATGCATAAGCTGCACGCACATATAACCCACAATGAATGAACCAGCAACCCAACCGAGACAACTTTTCACTGTACATTCGATTAAGGTGTATAAACGAGGAATTTAATCGATTTTGGTGTCGCGTCCACACACATCTAAATGAGTTAATAACACGGTTCATCCACTGTTTATCACTGGTACGAAATCCTGGCCAACTCCAGCAATGGTCTGAGAAAGCGGCTGGAACACTGAACAATGACTCCTTTCAGTGTAAAATGCAATCAAAGTACTCGATAAGTCCACTGCAATTTGCAAGAATCGAATACGTACTTATGGACGAACTGATCTTTTCGATGACCTCTGTTAAATGAACTACCAGTGAGCACGTGATATTCTCAGCTATCAGTCGGCTGGTTAAGGGAATCTGCTCCAGTCATGCTCTGGACCATTGATTTGTCACGCTAAGCAATCGGTTAGATCGATGTATGGTTGAGTTGATGCAAAAGAAGTTCGTTTGACCCCTCACTGAGTCCGTTTCAGCTGTATTATGATTCCTATAGATAACTAAGAAGGTTGGCCTGTAGTATATGCATTTGCTAGGTTCTCTTAGTCGTTATTGTACTTGTTTGTGTATTTGTTTGTCTCTTCTCCTTTCGAGCCCGTTTCTTGCTTCATTCCTTTTTGTAGCACATATGTGTAATCAACCAGCACGGTCGCGAAAAGTATTACGTTCGACGTCAATGATAGTCTCCTTTCCAGACCTTCCCCCTAGTCAATCCATGATTTCTGTCCTCAACTGTTTGCATTTCCTTGAGCTATTTTCCTACAGTGGATTGTGTTAGATCTATTACTTTTGCTTTACACTGACAGTTTTTTGGCAGGCAAATTGTTCGACAATTTCTGCTTCCAGTGTTAATTTGTTAATGTGAATGTGTCCACGGTTTGCTCGTTTTTTACCTCTCAGAATGGCTACAAGAAGCAAACTCATAGTGACGCAGGCGTCACTTGTTCGTACGTCTGCACCGATTTGTTGTACTGCAGTGATAAAAAAAAATGACCGGAGCTGTTTGTGATCTGGTGAAATTGCTCAGATTCATTCTTATTGGGTGGATGCTGCTCGAGGTGGTACATATTTGTCACACTGTTCGGTCCATGTAAGAGGGGTGACTTTTAAACACGCACAGGCACACTTTCAAGCGCACAAAACGATTCGTACGCACACCGAAGTTGAATGATGAAGTGAAACAGCTCACAGTAAACGTTATTTTCGTCACATTAGAACAAGTCTTGGTGAGGGTAGTGGTTTAGCAAAGTAGGAAAAAACCCAGGCCACAGGGTTTGACAATTGTTGCAATACGGATGCACTGTATTGCCCCAATGTGCGTCATTCCTGGATAAATGCTCCAGGCTAAAAATTAGTTTCGGATGAGACGGAAACGTCAGCCCTACTCTGAAGGAAAGCTGTCTGAAACGTGGGAATACAAGTTTGTTTTAATTTTTGTTGTAGAAAACGTGGAAGGTGTTTCTTATCAACATTATGCGGGTGAACGCTCTTTTCGCGGGAACACTCAGGAATCTCTGAATGCTTTTTGAATGGTTGAACACTCTATACTCTAAGCTCCCTCCCCCCAAAGGCAGTGTTGAAATTGGAGCCTAGAAAAAAAAAACAAATCCTTTTAATACGATGCCTCTATTTTGGTGTGATCGCTGTTCTTTGGACACAGTAGGACAACAGTGGTTATATACTCTAGGTTTTCAGGGTCGATTGTTGTGTTGTTAGAGGGGCAGGTTCATTTTCGGACACTTTCCTAATACTCTCCGACTATTCGTGGCTGCTTATTCGGAAAGACATGTCCGTCGCGGATTTTCATTATTCCCCGTTATGTTAAAGTTAGTCCCCGAAGGGCATAGATTTTACACTCAGTGTGTCCGTTAAGTTTTTGAGTAACCTATTTGCGGCAAGTTTGGGTATCCTTTGTGATGACTAAGCACGGGAATCGCCAGAAACAACTGGACAGTGATTGTCTTGCCTTTTTTGGACAATGCCTCAAGTTGTTGCATCTTCTTTAAGTCCTTTTTTTAATCGGATTCGGATCGGACCAGTCAACCATCTAAACCGTTGGGCCGCATCACGAGATTGATAAGCCGGCCGACTATTTGCTCCTGAGAAAAACAAGAGTCCTTAACATTGTATGGTTGTTGCGTTACAGATAGGTGCAGTTGTGTAGACTACTCCATGGTGAGCCTATGTACAATTCAGTATGCTGAGACTAAAACGTAGTACCGTTTTTGTGAAAAATCCTCTGATGGAATATGGTTTTCTTCATGTTCAACACATCTGGAACAATCACTGACGTATTCGGAATTGTCTACCCTGTTATGCGATTCTTCCTGAGCTTTATCAAACCATGTTTATGGCGTAGTCCACCGGAATGAATTGGATGTCAAAGTTCACACATTGTGACAATGATGAAGTTCCGGTATATTCATTCTGTTACATTCCTATTGTTAATTTCTTCGGATCTATTACTGTCAGTATCAATTTAGCCAGACGTTTGTGCGATCGTACGGCGCATAACACTCTGGAGATTTTCCCACAGCTGTTGGCATCACGTGCGTGAATGACACCAAAAGGATGACGGTATCCGATGATCTACTTTCTGTCTGCTGCGTTTTACCCAGTATTGGTTACTCAGTTGACATTCGTGGGTGAACAGAGGTATCCAAAATGAGACTGTTTGGTTACGGCAGCAGTTCGTTCGAAACTTACTAACCTGGCCTTCCAAGAACCGAACAGTTCTCAACAGCTCATCTCAGAGTAAGACCCACGATCTGCACTAGTTTGGCTTGATCTGCTAGAGCGACGTCATTGTTCAGTGTTTTATGGAGCTAATAAAAAGCCATGAAGTTAATCTAGTGGCTACCTAATTGGTTTGGCACCAAGCTTGCCCGTGCGAGATCGCTGGGTTGTTGTTAATTTCTTCGGATCTATTACTGTCAGTATCAATTTAGCCAGACGTTTGTGCGATCGTACGGCGCATAACACTCTGGAGATTTTCCCACCGCTGTTGGCATCACGTGCGTGAATGACACCAAAAGGATGACGGTATCCGATGATCTACTTTCTGTCTGCTGCGTTTTACCCAGTATTGGTTACTCAGTTGACATTCGTGGGTGAACAGAGGTATCCAAAATGAAACTGTTTGGTTACGGCAGCAGTTCGTTCGAAACTTACTAACCTGGCCTTCCAAGAACCGAACAGTTCTCAACAGCTCATCTCAGAGTAAGACCCACGATCTGCACTAGTTTGGCTTGATCTGCTAGAGCGACGTCATTGTTCAGTGTTTTATGGAGCTAATAAAAAGCCCTGAAGTTAATCTAGTGGCTACCTAATTGGTTTGGCACCAAGCTTGCCCGTGCGAGATCGCTGGGTTGACCGGACCAACATGATTTACGCTAACTTGCGTTTACGCATAAGGGTTAACTATAAAATGGCTAAATGTGTGGAAGGAAAGGGGACTTCAGGGACGAATTCTCCAAAACAGAGCCAGTATCTTCCCCAGCGTTAACTGTAAAATGGCTAACTTTGTGAAAGTAAACGGGACTTGAGGAACGAACTCTCCAAAACAGAGCCAGTGTCTTCCCCAGACAGAAGATTAACGTAACTGAGCGAAATCGTTCGCCCGTTAATTTCTTCGGTTCTATTACCGTCGGCATCAATTTAGCCAGACATTTGTGCGATCGTACGGCGCATAACACTCGGGAGATTTTCCCACCGCTGTTGGCATCACGTGCGTGAATGACACCAAAAGGATGACGGTATCCGATGATCTACTTTCTGTCTGCTGCGTTTTACCCAGTATTGGTTACTCAGTTGACATTCGTGGGTGAACAGAGGTATCCAAAATGAAACTGTTTGGTTACGGCAGCAGTTCGTTCGAAACTTACTAACCTGGCCTTCCAAGAACCGAACAGTTCTCAACAGCTCATCTCAGAGTAAGACCCACGATCTGCACTAGTTTGGCTTGATCTGCTAGAGCGACGTCATTGTTCAGTGTTTTATGGAGCTAATAAAAAGCCCTGAAGTTAATCTAGTGGCTACCTAATTGGTTTGGCACCAAGCTTGCCCGTGCGAGATCGCTGGGTTGACCGGACCAACATGATTTACGCTAACTTGCGTTTACGCATAAGGGTTAACTATAAAATGGCTAAATGTGTGGAAGGAAAGGGGACTTCAGGGACGAATTCTCCAAAACAGAGCCAGTATCTTCCCCAGACAGAAGATTCACGGAACTGAGCGAAATCGTTCGCTGTGTAGGGAAGGGTGCCTTAACGGATTTGGTATCCTGAATGATGAATAAATCTAAAACAGGATATACTGAATCCGGTATTGTTGACTTCATCATTCAGTCAGTCGTGAACCCTGTTGACCTGATTTTGATTGTAATACACAGAGTAACTTTGTCAAAAACAAATTCGGTACAAACATTCACACGAATCAAATGGTAGTGGCTGCTGTTGCAATCACTGCCAGATGGGTTCACGGAATATTTACTGGTGAATTTCGTTGAACCCTACAACTCTCGTTTACAAGATAAACTAATAAGCGTGTACGAACGTACATCGTGCAACACCACGGAAATTTCTCGGCTGATACTGCCGTCATGTCACACATGACACTAAAGTGATCAAGTTATTTGCTGTTCAATTATTCCACCGTCCATAGGCTTTCAGTGTTAGCCGCTCAGCTGATGCGGCAGTTGTGTGTGAACATATCTCACCGAACCAAAGCCAGGTTAGAACTGTACATGTTCATTCGACAGAAATATTTGCTAGACTTGGAACCTAGGTTTAGTGTGCTTATCTCAGGAAAGGTTGGATAGCAAATAAATGCCATTTTAGGTTCATGTGTATGACGTGTCGGCCACAGTAGCCACGAAATCTATATGGTGCCGCTTACGGCACGTTCGAACAAATCGTCTAGCTTAGATTATGGCTGTTGAACATTCTGTCATCGAGCTTGCATCAGTTTAGTCCACTGTATTTGTCCATGGGCGCTCACGACTGTACTATAATTCCGCTTGTTCTAGCTCAACCGTTCTGTCACATCCCTAAGGTGCGTTGGTGCAAAATGCACTCCGAAGCGTATGGCTGAGTTACTACAGTGTGTTGTCGTTCCATTGGATAACAGAATTGAGTTCGTGATTGTCACTTGCCTGTAACATTCACAAACCCGAGCAAATAAAGTCGCCCGTTGTTTGCTATGCAATAGTGCGTGCGTCAAACACAGACACGTATGCATGCATGGCCTGTCGGAAAATGCGACGTGTTGGTTCAATGAAGGGGAAATGCACCAGCTTTGGAGATGTGGTGAGAGTCGTAGCGAGGTCAGCCATGGATCGTTAACAAGACAGTATATGACTACTGTGATATTCGGTGGACAGTCGGTTGGGAACTGCCGCCTATGCCGAAATGCAAGGTTATATAATAGTGAATTACTTGTGCCATTTGAGTAGCTAAACAAGGTGATGGTTGACGTGTTAGTAGGTTTGGGAATTTCCAATTGATATTTCGTTCTGTAAATGAGGCCAGTCTATTTTGAGAAGTAGAGAAGCACTATACAACTGTTTCATCCTTTTTAAGAATAAGAAACATGGTCCATCTCATGAAACTCAAGGAAGTTCCGAACTTCAGACCTCCAGGATAGTGGCGGTTGATCACAGTGATGGTCAGCCAGCCGTAGC